CTATTGCGTGCGGAACGCATATCGGGACTGCTTGCTTCTCGTATCGTAATCGAGTGACCTAAAAGGTAGCATTTCCGATTGTAGAAGATCATTGGCCTCAAGCATCCTTGTCGTGCTGCTTGTGAGCCTTCTGGGCCACATCATCAGAGACCCGAACGTCTGTCGGTCCACCAGCAGCGCTGACGGCTTCTTTGGCTCCTTCGAGAGCCTTGCACCCCGCCTTCTTCGACAGTCTCTTGATGCGCGCGTACAGACCAGAGTCTGTGCCCAGTATGAACTGCACAGTGACGAGAGGCCAGCTGGTGTGGCGCGGCAAGACGTCGTAGAACTCCGGCGCTGCCGCTCGCAGCGCTGGCAATCGAGACCAAGGTATGGATGGAAAGTCGTGGTGCTCGTTATGGTAGCCAACCTGTAGATAGCAAAAGCCGCATCGAATCTCAGCATCGCCGACGGCCACGTTTCCCTCCGCTTTCCTCAGCCCGCTCTCACTCACATTGTACGCCAGCGCATTGAGCGGACCATAATAGCTCCACGTCTCCATTTGGACGCCGGCGAACATGTAATGCTCGGCAATGAAGTGAGCAGCGCAGGGGTGCAGGCTACCAGCAAAGAAGCTGCTCTCCAGCAGGTAGAACATGGCGTACCACCCAGCAGTCTGAACCAAGGCAAAGTCAAACGCCAGAAGCAGCGCAAAATTGGCAAACAACCACACTGTGGGCTTTTGCGCTTTGACGAATCCCGGGCGCAACGCGTAGAAGAAAATTTGAAAGGTGCTGAGGCAGTTTGTGGACCTGCTTGTTAGAAGCTGAAGCGCGGCAGCACTGCGCACCATTGAGCACACTCACGCAAAGAAGGCCTTGCCAAGAACATTCTTGAGACACAGCAGTTCCAGCTTGGTGGGGAGATCCGTGTCCATGCCTTCTTCCCCGAGATGTTTGTGGTGCTCGATGTGATAAGGCTGTAGGGGTGATCAATGTAGATGGTCAGAGAAGGAAGGTAGCAGCGCATAGCCGCTCGCCGACCACCCACTTTGAACAACATAGCGTAGGGCACGCCAATGGCGCAATTAACCAGAATTGCCCACCATTTGTTAGTTTGAATGCTCCTGAATGCCAGGTTGTGAGTGATCTCATGGATGGCCAGGAAAGTGTTCTGGTTCGCAGTTCCCCCAATCACATAAGCAGCCAGCAAGAACTTCCAATTGAGCGGATGTACTTGCAGGAATCCCATCGTCAAGGC